CTGAAACTAAGTCAGGAGAGACGGAATTCCAGTACAAGAGTGTTTGCAAAACACGAAAGAAAACAAACGGAGCAAGAAACAAAAGAACGAAATAGCTTCTTGCACTCATTATTAATGATGCCGACATAAGGCCGATGATTAACAGGAGAAGGCGACAAATTTTGCTATACAGTAGTGGTGAAGTTCGGGTTTTTAAAACCGGCCGTAATCATTCGGTTAAAACGATTTTGGTTTTATTGGTTGTCCGTTAAAGGCGGTTCGGTTTCGGTTGGTTATTATGGACCAATGTCTAGTTCGGTTAATTCGGTTTTCGACTGAACCCGACCGGCCCTCACCCCTACTCATAGTCAACAATCATAATCAAATAAATCACATAAACAAATCTATAATTGGTTATACACACGAATTAACACTATCTATGATATCTATCTACACTGGAACCAATCCACGAACTCACCTCAATTGATTGAAGCAGGGGCGGATCTATGTTTAAAGGAATGGGGGCACTTGCCCCCAGTGAGTTTAAGAAAAAAAATTTGTTAGTACATTGAGTATCTTTATTCTTTTAATGAAATAAAAGTGATGCCCCCATAAAAAAATTGGTTGCCCCCAATCCCTTTTTGGCCACTTTCGTAAAAGCAAAAAAAAAAAACTTTTCAAAAAACAAAAAAAAATTGAATTGTTATTTTATACGTTACATTGCTATTATATTACTCAGTAATATACTACTTCTGTCCCAGTGTATTTGCCCAGTTTGATTTTTTTGAGTCAAACTAGACAAACTTTGAATTCCAATTACTCTCAATTTACTGTAGTATATTGCATATTAGCATAATGAAATACAATTTTGAAAGTTCTCAATACGATAAATTCAATAAAGTTATTTTTATGTTAAAATACATTACTTTTTTTATTTAATTGAAGCTCAAAGTTTGTCCAATTTGACTCGAAAAAGTCAAACTAGACAAATACATTGGGACGGAGGGAGTATTATTTTGCTTTATTTCTCAAAAAAAAAATCTTGCTCTATTTATTGGTACACCAAATAGTACCCTATTTACACCACATACGGAGTATTTTTCTTCATTATCAATTTCTATCTACACCAAGAAATTCAATACTTCTTTCATCTCACAAAATAATTTTTATCTGAAAAAAAGTACACTTTAAAAAATGTATTATTTTCTAATTCGATCTGCTGTAATTTTATAATATGGTAGGATATGTATAGAGTATGTAGAGGGAGAAGATAATGTTGATTTTGAGACGGTAAGTTTATGTATTTGGCTTTTGTGGGGATAATACAATTGCATATTTGTTCAAAAAAAAGGATATGATGTTTTGGATAAAAATTAGAAAATAATATTAAAATTAAATATTTTTAAAATTCATTTTTTAAAACAAGAAATATTTTGTGGAACAAAAGGAGAATGATTTTTTATTCAAGTCTGCCCCAGTGGTTTGGATTTCTGGATCCGCCACTGGATTGAAGAGATAAAACAAATTAAGCGAGCAAATGAGATCAACAATTGGCAGTGGCATCTATTTTTTTTCAAAATAACGTCTTAGTACTAAGCTAGTTTTTGAGGCGTCCCAAAAATAGAGAGTATTAATTACTCTAGTAGTTGCTCAAAAACATATTGTATTGCTGAAAGCCTGAAACTTATGCAGAACAAAGCAAAAATAGATGAACCATATTTCTCTCAATTTGTCCAGTCTCCATCTGTCTAGTCTATTTGTTTGGTTAAGTTTTTCGAGTAAAATTAGATCAATTTTAATTATTAATTACTCTCAATTTCTATTTTATGTTAATATAATGTAATAAAATTTATATTTTTCATTAACCTTATAAAAAAATTAATTTTTATTTAATTGAGACTCAATGGTTGTTTGGTTTGACTTCGAGCAACACTAAACAAATGCACTTGGACGAAGGTGGTATAGTTTTTTTCATCATTTTAAGATTATACCTGACTCCTCCATTCATGTTGTGCTTTCAGAATTTTTTTAATCACTTTTTTACTTATTTTCATTTGTCATTTAATAAAAGAATATCGTCATGTCATCTTTTATTTGTCTCCTTTAGTCTTACGGATAAACTAAATATTGTTGGGTGCAATTGACAGAGGTGGGGGTATAAGTTCAGGTTAGGCTGAAGTGGGGTGGGCACCTGAGCGGATTTACCGAGAGAGTAAGGGGAGATAAAAACCATTAATTTTTCGAATAGAACATTTTAAAAACTCTGAATCATCTTGATAGAATTTTAGGATGGGGTATGGACATCTAGATTGGGCTATAAGACACTTGGGTTAAACCACATTAAAAGATTGAATCCAATCGATTAGTTAGTTCAACTCTAGAGCTTATATACCGATTACTTTAGTCTTGGATTTCCGATGTGGGATGTACTCTAACACTCCCCCTCAAGTGGACAACCGGGCCATTTTGAATCTAACCGGTTGACCACTTGCAAATGAACTCTCATTCCCTTGACTTTTTTTTATGAGCGCCAACACCTAAAGGACCACGAGCCGCTGGGCATGGACTTCCAGACGAGCAATCGTGTTAAACAGGCCACAGGCCGTTGGGTACAACCTCCATACGGACAACTGGGCTAAAGACTAACGGGCCGCTAGGAATGAACGTCTAGACGGACACCTTGACAAACGAGGTGGGCTAAAACTGGCTCTGATACCATGATAGATTTTTGGGATGGGGTATGGACATCTAGATTGGACTATAAGACACTTGAGTTAAACCACATTAAAAGATTGAATCCAATCGATTAGTTAGTTCAACTCTAGAGCTTATATACCGATTACTTTAGTCTTGGATTTCCGATGTGGGATGTACTCTAACACATCTCATGACAATGATTTCCAATGTCATGAAAACCAAGGTGAACTACTACTTATTATGCCAAAACTCATCTCACCTGCTCATTTAAATCTTTTTTAATCCTACGGTCCTCATTAGGCAGAGATCTAGGGCTTGTTTGGGAATAGCGGTAGAAATTAGCGTTAGCATTTTGGATAAAATTTTAACGGTACAGATTACTTTGAAAATGTCAAACGCTGCCCATAGATAGCCTTTTCAAAACGCTAATATTAATCGCTAACGCTATTTCCAAAGAGGCCCCTACTCTTCTTTTTTTCTTACAAACGACAATCGTCAGTTCGTCACCCCCTTTTTTTGACACTACTGATTAGTGTCATATTAAGACATTCCTTTGTTTTGAATAATTTTAATAATGGTAAAGACAAATATCACTCATTTTGTCTTAAGATTAATTTTTCATTTCAACTTTTGATCAATTTTATTTTTAATTTAATTTATTTGATTATAAGTTTAATATTTAAAAATAAAATTTACTCCATTTGTCTAGATTGACTTTTCTAAGTCAAATCAGACAAATTTTTATCATCAATAACTCTAAATTTGTATCTCATATTAATATAAATAAATAAAATTATGAAAGGTCTAAATAAGATAAATCTAATTAAATTATTTTCATGCTAATATACATTATAGTCTTCATCCAGATTGACTTGAAAAAATCAAATTAAATGAATACACTAGGACAGATGTAATATATATTTGAAAACTTTATCAAAAGTTCTTCAAACTATATCATTTTATAAAATGACAAATGAAATTGGAAAAAAATAAAATAAGTTTGACGCAGGAGTAATAATTTTAAAGTTGAGTAAATTCCATAAAAGTTCTCTAGTTATAAGTTATTTTACATATTTAGTCCATACATATTAAATATTACTAATTTAGTCCTCAATTATTATATTTATTTCCATGAATGGTCCCTAATTAATCTTCCTCCTTCCCCTCGCACTTTTTTTCCAAACTCGTCATTGAGTTTGAAGCGTTAAACCCAAAACCGAAATCATCACTTTTCTATCAATTGTTTGTCTAACTGGTGGAACCTAAAATCAAAACCAATAAGCTTTATGAATGAGTTTTATCAGTTAGTCACAAGAAATTGTAAAGAAATAAACATTAAAACTCATCCATGAAGGTTATTGGTTTCGAATTTGGATTTCATCAGTTAGACAAATAATTGAGAAAAGAGTGATGATTTTGGTTTTAGGTTTTAAGGCTTCAAACTCAGCGATGAGTTTGGGAAAAAAATATGAATTTATAATTTTATCTAGATCTTAATGTAAATATTAACAAAAGACCATTCGTGGAAATGAATATAATAATTGAGGACTAAATTATTAATATTTGATATGTAGGGACTAAATATGTAAAACAACCTATAACTGGAAAACTTTTATAGAATTTACTCTCTTAAAGTTTTAAAATTAAATTTTAAAATTGTTGAAATATTCAAGTTTTAAATGAACTAAATTAGGGTAGGATGTAACTCCACCACTAGGGCTGTAAACGGATAACCGAAAATTCGATTACCGTCCGCATCCGTATCCGTTTATATAGAAAATATCCGCATCCGTTAAAAACGGTTATTATCCGTATCCGATTAAGGATATCCGATTGCTAAACGGATACGGATTTGGTAATCATACATCCGATCCGTTTATAATCCGCTCCGCATTGACATCCGTTTAAATAACCGTTTATCCGTGTATCCGATCCGTTATATATGGTCTTTCCTAATTTTTTATTTTTATATTTTGTTTCTCTATAGATATCTCAAAGTATAAGACATTTTTATATGCGAAATATATGTGTAAACACATAAAAATATGTGTAGACATGTAAAAATATGTGTATATATGTACGGTGTATATCTTTTTATGATATGAAGTCATCGTATAATATCATAAACTATAAAAAATAAGAAAATAAATATCCCATAAAAAATTATAGTTGATTTAATAATATTTTAATTTAGTTTAATTGAAAATTCAAGTATTGTTTAGTTTAGTTTTCAAAATTGGAAACGGATACGGATATATCCGATATCCGACCGATATCCGACGGATGCGGATACGGTTATGATTTTTCAATATCCGTCAAGATCCGTATCCGAATTCGATATCCGACAAAAGTAAACGGATACGAATTTGGTAATAGCACATCCGATCCGATTAAAATCCGTTTACACCCCTATGACCACCACCACGGAAAGGGCAGGTGGAGACCAGTTATCAAACATTTTCCGGAGTACTATTTATTGATTAAATTAAACCTAGAGAGCATTCCTTCTTCTCAGAAATTAAAAAGAAGAAAAGAAAACAAGAGAGAGAGAGAAAGAGAGGAGGAACAAATTTCTTCCTTTCAAAGATACATCAAGCCTACCTTCTTCTGATTTATTGACATCATAGTGAAGAAAACCCTTTGCCTTCTCTAACTTGACCTAAAAATCCAACCTTTTTATTCACTGTGAGATTTCCCTGCTTCAATACAGAGCTCTCACCTCCGTTTCTTGTAATGCCAATTTCCACTTGATCCTTTTTTTCTTCTGTCTGTCCCTTCATATCAAATGTGAATTTGAATTACAATAATGGGTCACTGTTAATTTCAATTGTTTCTCCAATTCAGGCTTGATTAAGAAGTTCTTGAAGTCTTTTTCCCACAGATCTCTCTGGTATGGCATTGATACTGATTAGATTGTCTGAGTAATATGTTTTTTGTGTTGTTTTGTGGAAAAAATTTCAACCTTATCAAGTGTGGCTGTAGATTCTTGAAGATTGAAGAGGGTTTGAAGATTGGTTATGGACAAGTTACAGTGGGGGAATAAGAAAAGATTGAGATGCATGAAGGTGAAGGAGTCTTCTTCTAATGGGATGAAGAGGAAAATCACATCTAGAGTTGATAATAACAAGGAGAGTGTTACTCCTCCCCATCGTTCCAACAGGTATCATCAACTTAAATAATTGTTATAGTCTTTATTTGAATCTTTAATTTTTATTATTTAGATGTCTTTTTTGTTGTTGTAATATGTTGTTTGTAAAAAGCTGCATTTTTTTGTCAAAGATCCGTTCTTGATTTGAGATTATTGACCATTAGATTGTTCTTTTAAATCTTGATAAAGAGGTTTGGTTTTTGAATCTATACTTGGACTGTACTTCAGCTCCTATTATCCATGACAGTTTCTTTTTTCCTTTCAAGAAATGGTCTCTCCCCATTTTGATGAAGATAAGTGTGTGTATGGATTGTTCTGCGGGAACGATTATATTCTTGGGAATTTTCCCACACCAAAAGAAACAAAACCCAAACTTTTTACTGATGAAACTCCCGAAGCTATCCGAACAAGGGACTCACTCAAAGTGCAGAACAAAATCTATCATTTTTGAGTTCTTTGTGATCTTGAAATTTCTTCTATTACTTCTCATTTGTGATGGCATGAGTTGCTGAATTTTTTATGGAGAAGAAAACTATGTGGTCCTAAAGATAAGGTTTTGCATGAATTAGCACTATAAATTTATGGATTGTTTGGTTGAATTTTTTTGGAGGTAAGGGTGGGAGAGGATTTATTTTTCTTTTACAAATGTGTCTCAATCTGTTAATCATACATCACAAAGTAACTGCATATTTAGTTCAATAATGTTTTTTTTCTAAAAAAAATCATCTTCACTCACTTGCAACCATCTAATGTAAAGACTAAAGAGTAAATAAACTAAAACAAATATCACCCATTTTCTCCCCTTCAAAAACCCCAATAAAACAAGGAAAGCATGCTAACTAGTTGGGATTAAGGTTCTAATAACAATGATGATGATAATGAAGTATGAAATTTAGATTTACGATAACCGGTTTTTTTGGGCACATTGTAGGGATGTGGGGACGGCTAGATCTGGCGCGAGCGAGTTTAGAAAGGGAATGACATCATCATCTCCGGAGAAAGAGGACCGGTACTACACTACGAGAGGGTCGGTTGGATTGGAGGATCATAGCAAGTTGCTTCCAAACCCAAAGGTGGAGAAGAAGAAGTTTGTTTGGCCAAAGCTACTAATCACATTGTCTAGTAAAGAGAAGGAAGAGGATTTCATGGCCATGAGAGGTACCAAACTTCCTCAGAGACCTAAGAAGAGGGCAAAGTTGATTCAACGAACCATTCTTGTAAGTTTCCAAACACATTCTTTTTCAAGATTCAAAAAAACAAAATCCCTCGGTTAAGCATTTCCTTGATTTCTTCAAAATGTCCTAAGATAAATTCCTGGGTTTCCTTTTTTTTCGTGTAGTTGGTTAGTCCGGGTACATGGTTATCTGATCTGTGCCAGGAAAGGTATGAAGTGAGGGAGAAGAAGACTTCCAAGAAGGTACTTATTCATGTTTGTTAATAAGAACTGTTTAGTAGTTACTATATGAATTGGGGAAAATTAACTTTTAGTTTATTTTTTGGAATTTTGAATGCCGGTTTCAGAAGCCGAGGGGGTTGAAGGCCATGGGAAGCATGGAAAGTGATTCAGAATAAATTTTAAAAAAAATGTGGAAGAAGAAGAAGAAGAAGCTTAGCTCTAAGCTTGGGATTGGATATTGAGATGTGATTTTTGGTGGGCTATATTTTGTTGAAGTGGCAATTCAAGAGATAGGCAGATTTTGAGTGGTCTCAATTCTCTGCTGTGGGGTGTGGTGATATATATATATATATATATGTAATGTGTATGAAGATGGTTGAGGGACTATTGAGTCTTTTTCATTATGTTTTTGGTTTTTTGAAATTTGTTTCATTATACATATTGTATGGCTTCAATCAAAAGGATGCTTCCCTACTATAATGCCATTGCTTATTTTCTACTTTACTTTTATGTGGATGACATTAATGTTCTTATTTTTCTATTTTGGTGTGTGCTAAAACATTTGTGGGAGGGCCTCCATTTTATATATGAACTTTAAAACCACAAAAAAGCACAACTCGTATTACAATTCATGACTCATGATCAACAACAACAACAACCCAGTTAAATCCTACAAGAGTAGGGTCTGGGGAGGGTATGTGTACGCAGACCTTGCCCCTACTCGAAAGTAGAGAGGCTGTTTCCAAAGAGACCCCCGGTTCAACGTCGAAAGTTGCATTGCTTGACTAACTGCTACTTCATTAATTAGAGAAGCGCAGATAGTTTAGAAATCCATCGTGATCACGACTCATGATCACGAGATCTAATCGTATCCTTTTTTATTTTATACTCATTGGAAAAATAATTAATTTTTTTTTAATATTATTAAACATCTTATGAAATTTTTAAGAATACAAATTTTGTTTTTAAATTTTACACAGATTTTTATATGAATTAAATAAATAATGAATGCTTTCACTCAAATATCATACACCACAGATGGAGGAGTGCATTTTAAAATTTAAATAAGGTGTTGCTAAATCCAGCCTCATTTTGGTTAAATTTGCCCCATTTAGATGGATTGACAATTTTACCCTTAAAAATACAAAAGAAAAGTTTAGACCCTAACCAATTTTTAAGGGTAAAATTATCAATCCATCATAAATGAGGTAAATCTAGCTGAAAAAGAGTAGATATTATAACACCATTTAAATAATTTATTCTGTAATTCAAAACATAAAACAGAGTATAATTTGATCTACCTATATTTTTTGTGTCGTCAAGCACACAAGTCAAGATGCAAATAAAGTGTTTGGAAGACAAAATGAGCAGGTAACATAAGGGAATACTTTTTCTTTTCTTTTTTTTTTTTTTGCATTTAATACATCTGTTGTACTCCATGTGTCCATGAACTTTTTATTTATCACACTCCAATGTGTATTTTGGACAATGTTGCATATTCACTAGACCTGGCAAAAAGTGACCTGACCTGTTTTTGACCCGAAACCCGACCTGAAAACACTAGGTTTTGAACAAAGGTTTTGATGACCGAACCCGAAGTTAACCGAACCCGAAATGACCCGCTAAAAATGGGTCAAACCCGACCGGACCCGAACACAACCTGACCGACCTTCTAAAGTAAGAATTTTTCAAAATTATACACTTTTTTACTCGTTTTTAGTATATAAATTTATATTTTCAAACAAAATTTTAATGATATCGCATAATTATCTTACTTTTTTTCTAAATCTTAAGCATTTTTAAATTTCTTATATTGATATATATATCTAAAAACTACTTTAGAGTTTAAAATAAAATATTTTATAGATTTAATACTTTTTTTGGATATTTTAATTTTATTTAATAGAAAATGTAAGTGTTAATGTGAATTTAAAAATTTAAAAACTCAAAGTCATAACCGTTGGGTCGACCCGAACCCGATGACACTGGGTCATAAACATACAGTTCTCAACCCGAACCTGAATTGACCCGAACCCGAAATAACCCGAACTTGAAGTGACCGAACCCGAACCCGACCTGACCGACCGATTTGCCAGCTCTAATATTCACACAATATACAAATAGATCTCCTTAGGCTGGGCACAATGCCTCACGCCCACCAAGCCATGGTTCATCGTCCCAGTACCGTGTAGCCGCGTGACTACAGGCTACATCCCCCCCCCCCCTCCCCCGGCGTGCACGAGTCGGCCGCATGAGCCATTTAAAATCATAGGGTCGTTAGAAGATGGATTCAAATCAATCGAGATTGTGCAGACAGTGTCTCATTGAAGATTATTTTTGTACCGAGCTAGCGTACGACTTGGCATTTGCTAGACGCTTCTGGATTGGCCAACGTCTTTTTTGTAGAATACCTGATAACTTGCAAACACAATTTGAATACTTACAAAAACGTTACAATGGAAGAGATAAATTTGGAAAAGTGTACATCTACAACGACTTGGCATTTGCAAAATTGTACATCTACAATTCAATAATTGGTTTACGGTACAAGTTCTGATTCTTTGGATGAATATATGAAGATGTCTGAAAAAACAAGTCAATATACACTGAACAAATTTTGTAAAGGTATGTGTTCTTATATTTAATTTGTAAAATCCAATATATAGTGTAGAATTTTATTTTCCATTATATTAAAGTTGTCATGGCAGAAATCGTATTCGAGGAACCGGTCATGGAATGAAATTTAAAAAATATACGATTTCATGAAGAGGTGCATGGATTTCCAGGAATGCTTAGTAGCATTGACTATATGCACTGGGAGTGGGCAACTTGCCCAATGGCTTAGCGGGACCAATATCAACAGGGTGACCAATCACCCGGAGTTGATGTTTGAAGAAGTAGCGTCAAATGATATTTAGATGTGACATGCTTTTTTAGAGTTTGCAGATCAATTAATGATTTAAATGTTCTGAATCCATCTCCAGTTTTTGAATATATCATTAATGGAGTTGCAGCTACGTCATCTTTTATTACCAACGATACAGAGTATAATTTTAGTTATAATCTGGCTGATGGTATCTACCCAAATAATGGTAAAGTTGTTTACTTCTCCACGCAAGGACGATGTAAAACATGTACGGAGTACTTTTTAAGAAAGCTCTAGAGTCTGCAAGGATATCGAGAGCACTGAAAAAAGGTGACATCTTATTGTTAATCCCACAAAAATGTGGAAGAAAGAAAAAATATCATGTCATGTACACGTATGTTGTTTTACATAATATGGTTTTAAAAGACAATGGGATAGCTATTTGTGCAGACTACAAGCCGGGCTATGATAACGTTGGAGAGGTCATCGATGATGAACGAATCGCAAGGCGCGCCTAAATCCGTAGTAGAGAAATGCACAACTTCAAAACGGATTTAGTAGAGTATGCTTGGAAAAATCGAAATTCAAATTAGTGTTACTTGTGTACTTTATTTCTTTTTAATTCAATTATTTTGTGTACTTTTTTAATTCATGTAATTTAGGCATTTTAAATAAATTATTTTACTTTTTGGGTGCATTTAATTTTTATAGTTTAAAAACCCAAAAAAATTAATACTCCCTCCGTCCGAAAATATTCTTCCCGTGTTGACTTGGCACGCTTATTAAGGAATAGTAAAAAAATGCAAATTTTTCAAAAATGCACATACTATAAACTTTTAAATTTCCTTTTATTATTAAAAAAGTACTAAAAAAGTAGATTTGTGATAAAATAGAAGGGTATTATTGATATTTATCCTTAAAAAGTATACTAAAAAAGGAAATGTGAAGAATATTTCCGGACGGACCAAAAAGGAAAGTGGGAAGAATATTTCCGGACGGAGGGAGTAACCCAAAACTAGAAAAAATATTTATAAAAAAATAAAAATAGAATATACTTAAAAACACTTTTTTATCATTTTATATTATTATTTTATAAAATGTTTAATTTAATTTGAATAGAATTAGATATATATTTAAAAAATTGAAGTGTAATGATTACAGTGGATGTGAGGCACTATAGGTCTGAAGTGAGTCAGATGGTGAGTATTAGGGGTGAGCAAATACCGAACCGATACCGAAATTTCCCGAAAAAACCGAGAATACCGAACTGAAAAATACCGAACCGAAAAAATACCGAGAAGGAACTGAACCATACACATCTCTTGCATTTAAACATTCATTTTTTTTAATTTTTATGTTTTTTATTTAAATTCACTTTTTAATTTTCAAAAATAAAGGGGCATTGTTAAATTTTAATGTGTAAAGTAGGTATGTATATTCATCCCGATTTATACCGAAACCGATACCGAACCATCCCGAACCATACCGAACCGATATTTCGGGATCGGGATTGGTACGGGGTAAAATCCCATACCGAACCAAAATACTTGGTACGGTATCAGTACGAGCTAAATACCGTACCATACCGTACCATGCTCACCCCTAGTGGGTATTGTCAGTGATGAGTGGCTATTGATTTGGAGTGAGCGATGGTGGAACGTTACAGATAACCTTATAAGCTCATTATTATTTGACTAAATTTTATAAATTATCTCCAACTACATGTAGTTTTCATATTTAATTTCAGTTATAAGATATTATATAATTGATCATCAAGTTTTTAAAATTATTTCATAAATAGTCTTTTATGCCAAATATGACAAAAAAATCCACATATAGTTCCTAAAAGATCGATTATGAAATAATTTGTAAAAATTGATGACTATGTATGTTAAAATTGGAGACTAAATATAAAAAATCACATGTAATTTATAAAAAGATTATGAAATTTAATCTTATTACTCGTAATAAACGGAGTGTGATGTTTGGGCCTTTGAGGTATAATTTTTACAATTTTCATTTTTTTTTAAATTTTTGTATCAAATTTAGAAATGAACTCTAATTTGACCGTTTTTTTACTCGAACGTTATATCCGACGTATCAATTATTCACAAATGTATATTGTTCACCGTTTAATATCTACTGTATTTTTGTAACAATGGTGCAAAGAACATTTTCTACTAAAATAAAATCTTCCCATTACGCGTTATGAGGCTTGACCGACTTTATTTTCAATTCAATTTAATTGAATATAGGAGTAAAATTTTAAAATAAAATTTATATAGTAATAAACAACATGAAAAGTTCTACAAAACTAGAGGTGACAAGACTATATTATTTTTTGAAATGACTAGTAAAAATGAGCAAACAAAGTGAGTAAAGTTTGACCCTGTGAATAGTGTGTGAGAAGATCTATGGTGGACAGAGGGAGTAAATTTTGTTGGAGTTATTTTTCATTTAGACGTGTTTACTTATTAGAATAATACAACGCATTTAAAAATACACCACAATTTTTTTTGAGAACTACAAATGTCATATTATGACGACAAACTTGTTGTCAAAAGAAAGAAGTCAGTTAAAATTATATGCAAAACCCATATCCTAATTAAAAATATTATTTCCAAACAAAGCCTTAGGCCTATTTCTTTTTTTGGCATACAATAAATAACCTTAGCCACTTCACCCCACCCACATACATGGAGAGGAACCTTTCAAAGGAGCATATTAGATGGTCAAAAACTTCACACAATACACAACATTTTAAGGTCACACTCACCCTTAAACTCTAGGACTAAATCCCCTAAACTCATGTGCACATAGGGTTCCTACCAGGTCCTCCAAAGTAGAAATAATGACCCCAATCATCATTGGAGTCCTTCATAACATCATAACAGTTTGACTGCTCAGTGAATGTGTCAAGATGCTTGGGTGACTTGAGGTTGTTTGAGCTGTCAACTACTTGGATGTTCCGAAAATACCCCGCCTGCCCGAACCCCTTCTCCGGGAACTGCCCGCTGCCCATTTGCGTGGAGGTGTGCTGACCGTTCGGCTGCGTGTTCACCACCTCACCACCCCACTGCACCATGTTCGCGCTGTCGGCCAAGTTTGAGAACAAGAACGATGGCCAATACCCAAGAACCAAGTCGTTCCCGTATTGCATCCACCAGTTTCCTTGCTTCGGATCCTACAAAAAACATATATATTAGGTGCCCCCATCATCGAAAAGAAATGAATGAACGTAGACATGACCCGCGTCCATATTCATTCAACGTTTTACGTATCACAAAAAAAGCGAAGTTAAAACTGGATGGAGGGAGTATAAGATGGGTTTTTTACAGATCATTACTGATTCAAAAGAAAATGACACTTTTACCCATGTTTTAAGATATGGTTTAGGAGTCAAAAGAGTATTAAAGATGACTCAACTGTTATTTGAAAAGGAAGGAACTCTTTGAAAGGATCCAGACCATAAAGAAGCATATGTTCTCATCATGTAAAGCTACTAAAAGATGAGATTTTTCAAGGATTTTCAGACACTAAAGATGCTAAAAATGGAGGGGGCATTATGATTCTACACTCCAATAAACCCCATTTTCTTCCCTCACTACAGTCATTCCATTTATGAGCTAATTAAATTATTCACTGTCCTGATTTCCACTTCTGAATTAACATCATTGAACGATACACTTGTTTAGAGGGCTCATTTTGTATTTTACCCGCAAATTACCATTTTTCTTTTACAAATTTACACTATATATACTGTGTTTTTGTTTCGTTTCATTTGGAAGCAGCTTCAGCATTTAGATTTAACGTTTTCAAAGATGACCCAAAACTCTTGAGTTAATTGAAAACCTTGTTCCCTACAATCCACTAAAATCCCACAAAAAGTAAGGTCTTTGGAGAATGTGTGACTAGATCCAAAGCACAAGCAACCCACTAGGGTGAATTCATTGATAATAATAACAATAATAATAATAATAATAATAATAATAATAATAATAATAATAATAATAATAATAATAATAATTCTAAACCTTCATCATCTAAAAGAGTTGGTGAAATGAGTTTGGAACTTACCTTCCAAATAAGAATGCTGATATCGTACTGCGAATTTCGATATGCAGAAACAGGGGAGATGCTAGCACCCATTGCTATTTGGCTGTTGATCTGAATGAATCCAGAGCAGAGAAGATTGTAGCACCCTGTGGCCTGGTACGCGTCGCTCTACAACAAAAAATTCAGTAAAAAAACATAAATCAAGGGGTAAAAAACTAGATATGAGAAGAAAGGGTTTTTTTTGTTCATCAGATTCAGTTGGTTTTACTTACAGTCCAGTAAGTGAACAGCCGTGTGTTATTGTCACCATATAATCCCGGGCTCACCTGCGTTCAAGAAGAAGAAAGAAAACATGTACAAATTCATCATCTTCTGAATCCATTTGGGAGACCGTTGGAAAATGTATGTTTTGAAAAGTTGTTTATAGGAAAGAAAGCCGTTTTTAGGAAGGATTTTATATTCTAACACGCACAGACCTGCCAACCGGCCTCAATGCTGTTGAGATCTTGACCAAAAGAGCCACCAAGTACCCATATCTGGGACAAGCTGAACTCATTAGGCTCTTCTATTTTAGGTTCCCAGACATTAATGGTCGCCTTCGCTCCGTAATACTTGTCTCCCTCAACAAAGGCTATTGCATGCTGCAAGTTCAGCAATCACAATTCAAACACCATATAAGCACAAATCACAATTATGGGTGTGTTTGGAAGTTCCAATCTTTAGGACTTTGAGATGAAGGGAAAATAGGAGTCTTTTTTTTCTTAAATCAAGAAAGATTTTATGGTCTGTGTTGAAAAATTATTACCCTTTTTCCTTTCATCAGGTTATATCTTTTACTCTGAAAATACTATCAAGATGAAGAAAAGGTTTGTTTTAGTGAAAAGAAAAGAAAAAGAACATTTCCCTTCCCTTTCCACACCAGAAATTCAACTCCCAAACATAGCCTAATCATCTCTTTGGAAAGATGAAAAATGGGTTCTGGAAAATTACTTCTATCAACTAAATTTAGAAAATGAAAACAAAAAATCTGTTGTTATAGCACAATAAAATGGAGTTTCAATCTAAACAAGAGAAAGGTGGAAAATGTCTTTTGGGGAAAATATTTTCTTCAAATAAAACTCATTTCCCCCCTTTCCAAAGGGATCCCAAGTATAAACTTCACTACCTGATGGCCACTAGCACCCCCACTGCCAAGATCTGTACCCATTGGCAAAGGGGTGCTCTTATGCTTCTTCTTCCCAAACTTCTTCACAGAACTTGCCCTTAACACATCTTCTTTCTTTGTCCTCCTTATAGGGACAGTGCCCTCCGGGCAATGCCCATTCATGTGCCACAACTGAGTCACCGGAATCGTTCTTTCTCCACTCCCTTCCTTCTCCAAGCCAACCAGCCCTTCTGGCTGGTATTCCGGCCTCATCTGTTGGGATTAGCATATGATTAGCTACATAATTAAGCTTATAGATTTAACATGTTTATTGGAAATGTAATTGTGTTATCCAAACCTGGATCTTGTGGTCTTTGAGGAATGGGTGGTCAAAGGCTGGCTGTTTGGAGATGGGCACGCAGTCAATGATATCCCCATCTGGGCTCTGTTCAATTATTGCACCAACCAAACAGGACTTAAGCAAAGAAACAAATCTCAAAGACTCAAAATCCTACTTTATCAGTATGAACAGATGCAGATTTACATAAAGTAGAAATCTTTCCACTGAAAATTTAAAAAAAAAAATACCCGCACACAAAAAAGGGGGGAAATGGTGTACCGGAATGCTTTTGACTGAAGGTTTGTTTACTCTTTTCAAGTGTTTGTAAACTCTGGCTTCACTCCGGGAGGCCGGCGACCGGCCGGCGAGGGAAAGAGACACCGGGCCGCCGGAGAAACACAGCAAGAACAAAGCTACTCCCAGGAGTTCCGCCGTCCTACTCCGGCACCGGCCACAACCGCCGAAATGCGAGGCACCCACCATCCCAGTCAGGGTCGGGAAGGGAAACGAGGCGAAACCCAGTTCAAGAACTGGCTGGAGAAGCAGTTCACCGGTCGCCGGAGCGGTGGAGAGTGCAGGACGGGGTCGGCCTTATCGTGCGCTGCTCCGCTGCTTATCGTGCGCGGAGTACCAATCAAAGCAGCACGAACATTTGTCGCCTTCTTTCTCGGGATGGGCAACGAGAGTGTGGCTCTTACTCTCTCTCTCTCTCTAGAGCTCGAACTTTTTCTGCTTCTTCGAATCTAACAACACTTTCTTTGGTAGAAATAAGTACTAGTATTTATGCAAAGATATGCAAAATCTATTTCCGTTTTTGCCCCTCATCATCCCATCCGTTTAGGAACAGGATCCAATGTTGGGGATTAATTCATTACGAGAATTGATATTTGAGCTCCACAAATTGCTATCTACGCTCCACTTTTTAATTTATTTTAAAGATGGACAATATTGTCCTTCCTATAAATTCCCATCTTCATTTTACCCCATAATGTATATCACTTAAGCCTAGACCTGGCACAACAGAACCGGAATCAATTACCTGAATCGAAATATTCGAAACCAAAACCGAAATGACAATTTTTTTAAAACAAAAAAAGAGTACATATCAAGTACGGAGTACAAAAAACCTACTCATCCTAATCTTGAAAAAAGGATTAGAGCAATGCTAGGAGTACACCAAAGGTGTACCCCATTTGTCTTTCACCCTTTTTTTCACTACTCGTTTTTATTTTATTTTTATTTATCTATTTTTTTAGTCTCTTGCCCATTTATGTAGACAAGAAAGGGGTGTGGGACAAATGGGGTACATCTTTTGGTGTACGAGCATCTCCAACCTTAGCAAAATGACTTAAATATGTTATAATTTGACAAGTATATACAAAATTTCATGCTCCAAAGGGTTATTCAAAATTTGACTAGCTTGCTAAAAAAATTAAAACACCTTGTTATTTATAACAAGCATGCTAGAATATAGCTAAAAAAATTAAGGTAATTTCTTTTACAATGATATATATACTACACAAATTAAATACTCCGTATAACATTTTTTTGTTTTTTCAATGTGAATGAGATTTTTACCGTACGAAGAGTTCTTTGGTTTATTTCATTTTAAATAGAAATATTTTATTTTATATTTTTTAATTACATACTATTAGAATATAAATAACTTTTTCTAGACATAAACACAGGTTTGAGCTTTTGGTTGAATCAGTTCTTTGACACATGCTCCATATTTATTACTTTTTTTACGTTTACAGGAATAAATACAATTCAAGAATTATTGTATTTGGTGTATTATAATGGTTATTGGAACAAAATATATTTGTTAGTTACTCTCTCCGTCCAAAAAAGAATTACACATTTACTATTACGGCCTCTTAATAACTCTTATTTGTTTGTGTATTTTCATTGATTATTTGATAAAATAAATTTTTATCAGCTCTTGTTTTGTAAATTTTTTGATGTAGTTTTTTAAATGTAATTTTTTACTTTGTAATTTATTTAACAATTTATAAATAAAACCATTTTAAAATCATGGAGTTTTGCACGTTGATCAAAAATGAGTAAAACATTATTGGAAGGAGGGAGCTTAATATAACAAGTCATGGTTGGAGAAAGGAGCAAAAAGTGACTTGTTATACCACTATTCATTAGCTAAAAAAAGCAATAGCAAGCCACATATACCAAGCTCCTTTGGAGATGCTCTACCACTAGCATTTTTCAAAGGATTAAGCTATTTGCATAAAATGTAAAACTTTTGGATTAAGCTATTTGTACCCCACTTTGTATCCCGCAGCTTTGCACCAATACAAAGTGTTGGTGTAAAACTAATTTTTGTTAATGCACTAACACTTTGTGTCTGTGTAAATTTTTGTTAACGCACCAACATTTGTGTCGGTGTAAACCATCAAAATGTTTGTGTATAACTGCAGTGTACAAATGAGGTATAATTTGTGGTGTAAGAGTATCTCCAAGGGAGGGTGTAAAAGGAATTAAAGTGTAAAAAATAAAAGTTTTAGCCTTTACTGTACACAATTTGGAACTCCAACGGGGGTAGGCTATAAAATAGACGGTAGTGTATTTCTCCATTCTGATCGTGTAAATATAGACACTGCTGTAGCAAAGTGGAAAGGTGAAAAGAAAAGTCATGCTCGATCGTCTCCTTCCTTTTTCTCTGTGCTCTCCAAACGCTAGAACAAGATCTGAGAAACACTTCTCCATCTGCTCGATTTGGGAAAAGCTTCGCCAAGGCATGGACCTATGTTTTTTTTTTGTTTTGATGATTCCAATTCAGCCACTAATTCTCGTGGGTTCATTTTTGGGTACCTCAACCTCTTGAGTTAACTTTTGGGGTTGAATTGGGCCCAAGTCTATTGTTTCAACATGGTATCAAAGCTAAGCTATTGATGTTGGGACCGCGCCCGCAGTAATCTGCGCCTCGTGTGAGGGGGGCGTGTTGACTTGTTCATCCCACATCGGCTATGCAGCCTTATATTGTGCTGCTATTTAATAGTTTGGGTACCTCAACCTGTTGAGTTAACTTTTGGGGTTGAATTGGGCCCAAGTCTATTGTTTCTATACTAAGCATAGAGCTCTGTATATATACTATCTAATGATTTTTTTTGCTACCAATCTGCGAACAAATCTCATTTTATTTCGGCTAGTTCTGCAGGATCCTCAAGAATCAGATTCATCATTTCTAAAATAAAAAAGTGTGCCCGTGGACGTTATGCAGTTGGCAAAGCAAAGAGAGTCAAATCTCAAGGGGTAAAACTCGAGTTCAATTCCTGACAATTGCATTGGAAGGAAACTATGTTGAGCATAACGTCTCTGCAAGTACCAGGTGTAGGCTATATTCTTTGTTACCAATCTGTGATTAAAATCTGATTCAACTCTTCTCAGTGATTGTTTGGCCGGATCTGCGAGAGCCTAAAAAATGAGGGTAATGTTTTCTAGAATAAAAAGGGTCCAAATAAAAATGTGTAAACAAAGTCACAATGGTCTGTGTGGGGTCTGTGTTGCCCTTTATTATATTCTCTGATATCCCTCCAAACCCAAATTTGTAAGCTCGTCTGGCCAGACAGACTATTAAAGCTGATCCCACCAAAAGGAAATACTCCCTAAAATAAATCCAATGTCCTTTGTACAATGTGTTAATCAAATTTCTCTAATATGCCTTTTTAAAATGTTTAATGGCATTAATTTGTTGGTAGGAAGATGATCTAAATAGACACTGTCAAGGGTAGTGTGAGAGCGATAATGGGTCTGATAAAATTTAATGTAGGGTAGGGATTACTAGACTAGGTAATACTCCATAAAACAATTCAATTGAATTACATTAAGAATTGAATTTAATCGATTAAAATCTAGTTTGATTCAATAACGTAGATACCAATTACTTCCGAAGTGGAATAATTTTAAAACATCAACTCAAGAAAACAATCAGGTCATATTAGATCTAACCAGTTCATAATTTACAAATGGACTCTCTCCCCCCATGAAACGAAGAGTGCTTCTATGGTGCACTTTGATTACATACCATTTTTGTAGACTTTCTCACATAAATTTTTTTAATTAAAAAACAAATGCTTATTTTAGTAATAAGAAAAATTCTTATTTTGCTCATATGTAGGTCCATGGTAGACCCTAGATCCACTATGAAATTTGCCCGAAATAAAAAGATCAAAATGCAGCACCAACACATGTGGTTTTCCATACGAATAACTGGGTAAAAAGCTAGCATACTATTAAGAATGAATTAGTAGACGAATACTTGGACAAATGAGGAGGGCCAAAATCAGCTTTGGAGAACCATTACAGAACTTAGGATGAGGTAGGAATCACGTCCTGGACATGCCACAAGACAATTGCGTTGACCTATATTAAAAAAAGTAAATTTAATTGATTACATAATTTAACTCAAATTCCTATCTAGCTTTTTCTTTCAAACTCTCTAATGTGGGATAAATACTTTTTAACATGGCTTTGAGAAAATCTCCAATTAAGATTGTGTGAAGCCATGGTTGTTCCCAAAGGAGACGACGTCTGCCATGCGAGCTGGTCGAGGTCGGCTCCGATGACTAGACAAGTGGACAACCTACACGTTCACATCCCTACGAAGGTTACACATCGATCCTTTTTAGCATGACCATGTACGCTCTCAAGTCATCACCCTTAAGCTCAAGTTCAAAGATGGAGCACGACGAACGCATTCCACATACTCTACGACAAATGTATGATCAGAGATGCTCTGAGTGCTCATCGCATATTCTCAAACATATGCAATGTTGAACATTACAGCGGGAAAATAAAAATAAAAATAATCCGAACTTATAAAACGTTCGGATTTTACAACAAAAATAAAAGAAAAATAAAATTGGAGTCTTCGGAAGTTCGAACGGAGAACGAAGGGTCGCCGGAGATGTTTCTTGAACCGTAGATAAGGAAAGCGGAGTCGCCGAAGCTTTCCTTAAGGTAGTATTGCCCGCCTCCCGCACTGGCTAACGTGGGCAATCTCCTCCCAGGATAAAACCGCTTCGTGCTAGGTCTAGAGCGGTAGAACAAAGCACCGGCGAACGAGAATGACGGGAGTTATAGCCGGAGAAGGTGATCGGAGATGGGAGATGATCGGAAAGTTGTAACGCAGAGAGAGAGAGAGAGATTTTCGAGTGTACTTCGGTCTGTTTCATCTCTCGACCAGCCTCTCCTTAAATAGGAGGAGGCTTGGTTAACTGGACGGTCCGGACGGAGAAACCGATGAGCCCAATGCGACTCTTCGGTCGGCCATGCATGCATGTGTACACGCGCGTTTCGTTTTGGTCTCGTAAAAATGAGCCAGACGGACGGCGGCGCGGCAGGCGCGCGAGGAGTTCTCTTCTTGTTCCTTTCATAAGCTCAATTCAATGCCTAAGCTTAAATATGAGAATACGAAAGGTTTAGAAACCGATGTGGGACAAAGGCATTTACTATACCTTAGTATTCAACTTTGAGAATTAATTTCTCATTCACCCGAGCACCGTTTATGACGTGTCATATGTCAAGACGTTCGTCTTACTTACGAGATTAATCGTCCATAATTATTTTGGAAAAATAATTTTGTGGACCCTATCAAATTTATGTCCGAAAATGTCCAATTTACTTAAAAATTCCAACATGCAACTCACCATAGGGACGATAATGTCCTCTTTCGTCCATCAAAGAATGTTCGAACAAGAGGAGCACATCACAGACTACTCTGCAATCAACATTGTCTCATCCAAGGGGGCAATATTTACTTACTATCTACTCCCTACCATAGTGTATTCTACCTCCTTAGAATTAACCTAGGGATACATACACCAAAGTAGAGTACCTCATGCATAGATATTTAGTATCTGTATATGTCTCTTAATGTTTGGTGCATAGATAGGGCACTCCATTTTAATAATATACCCTTAGCATGGTCATGTACCTTATCTTGGGAGAGATTTCATTCCCACATTCATATATGGACTATGGACTATGGAGTGTCCACATGCAGATTGGACTGCTATAGCAAGTGAGTGGGGCATAAGGACAGTTTGTAGGGCTTTAGTTTAGGGTTTTATTTGTCAATATTTGGTCATGATGCATGTCACATGGACCTCTTTGTATTTTGCCAGATTTAGTTTGTCCATTTGTGTCCTACTTTATGTGTATTAGCATTATTATTGGGCCGTTCACACATTAAATTAGAGGAAAAAAAAGAGTAAATTCCATAATTGGTCCTTTATAATATGGGGGTTTCCATATTTAGTCATTTATTATCAAATATTATCACCGTAGTCCTTTTTTTAAGGGTACCTTTCCACAAATGGTCCTTTTTTAAATCTTGTGTCATGTTGGTGTTAATTTAAAGGCTAAAAGTATAACTTGACATCAACATATGTCTAGTGACGTGTTCTGATATTGGTTAAGTGGATAACACAAAAAGAATGACTATGATTGTGGGCTAGGACTCTGACGAAAGATCACATTTGTAGACTATCGTTGTCGTAAAAAACGACTGTAATTCAAAAACGACGCAAACGGAACAGCCTTTGGAATTGTGTATGACAAAAAAGATATATTATCATTGTGAAATTACACTTTTAGCCCTCAAATTAACACCAACATGATAGAAGATCAAAAAAGGACTATTTGTGGAAAGGTACCCATAAAAGAAGGACCACTGGGATAATATTTGATAATAGAGGACTAAATAGAGAAACCTCTTTGTTATAAAGGACCAATTATAGAATTTACTCGAAAAAAAATGAGCCCTGTCACACCAAGTTGGACGATCGCTGAGAGAATGTTAATTGGGCTTTGATCGCAAATTGGTGATAAAGAGTGGAGTCTGCACTTGGTATTTCAAGGGGAAAAAGATTAAAGTTGGAGTAAAACATTGAAAATATATACCAAAATAGGACTTCCATGTTTTTATTTCCAAAATAGGAGTTAAAATGTATTTACATTACCAAATATTGTCATGTACATTACCAAAAAGTATAGTAATGTGCACATTTACAGTGCCACATTACAACCATTTTACAACAATGCGAAGTTTTATTTCGAGAATAAAAACATGAGACTCCTAATTTGGTACTTTTTTCTATATTTTAGTCTTATTTAAGATGATTTTTATACTTGCATAGACTCAACACTTAGCATAGTTGTCTCTCTGCGTACTTGCTAGAAATCGAACTCGAGTCTTACCCATTGGCACTCATTTCCTTGCCAACTGCGCAACATCCAACGGGACACATTAAATTAGAATACTCAAAAGAAAAAACCTTGGATATTTGACTTCACGTATTCAAGAAAAATGTTTAAAAATGAAGTTAAAAGTAAGCGGTTCAAATTCAATCAAGATAGAGATAAACACTATGAGAGTAAAATTTATGTTGGGGAAACTAAACAGTAAAATTTCACGTTTTTTTATTGTGTTTTTAGTCGAAATGTTTTTGTTCAGTTTGAATTTTTATATTTGAATTAAACGATTTTTGATCATCAGTTAAATAAATACATTACACTGTATATTAATGAAATAAAATAAGAATGTGATATTTTTTACCAGATCAATATAATTAAATTACTTTTGGGTTAATATGTAATATAATATTTATTTAATTGATAATTAAGATTTATTTAAATTGCGTTAAATCATCTATACATGGATATTCCATAAAAAAATAATAAAACAAAATATTACTCCCTCCATCCCAATTTATTTGTAACACTTCGAACGACGTGCAAAATATCATCTCTTTTAAAATGACTTTAATTTTAAATTGGCAGCATAATAAAAAGTAAAAATTACACCATTCAAAAGTATATGAAAAATTCTACAATACAAGATGCGACAATAATATTTTATTCTATCAAATGGTCAACCAAAACGAGTAAACAAACAAAAGTTATCGAGAGGCCAGAATAGTAACCGTGGCATTCTTTCTGGGACGGGGGAGTATAAAACAATATCTTTTGAAAAAGTAGTTTATTATTATATTATTGAATAATATAATATAATATTACACACACAGAGTAATTGATTATTATATTATTCTGACCGTGCATCGCACGAGTAAAATAAATCTAGTATCTTTTGAAAAAAAATTTCTAAACTAACTTCGCACAATTGCACGTTTCAAATGTCGCGTTACACTAAACATGGTCTTGCATTTTGAAATTTTAATAATTATATTTTACTTGAACGAATTTTACATAAATATAATTTGCATGGTAAATTGTTTACTTTTGATTTTGATAATGCTATTCATTAGAACTTTATTGACCTTCTACTTAGTAGATTTTTTCACCAATTAAATTTAATGGAAAAAGATTAAAATATAAATAAAACATAGAAAACATTTCAAAATAGAGTTTCATATTTTATTCCTAAAATAAGAATTAAAATGCATATAAAATGCATATCATGTCAATATATAATATTAAAAAGTATTGTGAAATATCTGTATATAGGGCGACATTAACATAGTGCAAACTTCTATTTTGAATAAACAAACTTAAAATTTTTATTTTGATATATTTTTTATATTTTATTTCTATTAAGAATAATTCTTTTTAAATTTATGCATGTGATATTAGTTATATTGGGCGATGGGCCTAAGATTGTTCCTTGGTGGCAATTTCATAGCTGATGCATGTTTACTCGCCAATAACGTTTAACCTCATATCTCCGACACAGAAAAAACGTCCTCACAAGTTAGAACCATCTTTCTCTCATTTTGGCCTTATTTGAAAATATTATTTTCAATTAGCGACATTGTTTTGGATAAAAATTTTAACGATGTAGATTAATTCTAAAAACGTTAACGCTACAGATTACTGTCAGATAATCTTTTTAAAATGCTAACACCAACCTCGAACGTTGTTGCCAAACGAGGCTTTCCTCTCTTCTCGTTTTCCTTTTCCAATCATTTTCGCTCTTAGCTTTTCTTACACCACTTTAATAAGAAATATTAGCACTAAAAAACACTAAAACTTAAGCCATTTCCATAAACAATACTTAAATTTTTTTATTCCCTAAATAACACTTAATAATGTTCATAATGTCTAGTAATGATGAAAATTTTCTTGAATAATGACTAATGTATAATGACCAAAAATGCTACATTTGAAAAAAACACAAGTAATGCTATTTAGAAAAAGTCATTATGTTTTAATGCTATTTATGTAAATTCTCCCTTTAATAATTCCTCATATTCTCTCTTCTTTTTTAAATGTTAGACCGCACATGACATGAATTTATTTTATCTACATAAATTTTTGGGAAAAAGACTAAAGTAAAATTAAAACATTGAAAATATACCCAAATAGGACTTCCATATTTTTATTTCCGAAATACGACTTGCATTACTATACATTATTATATACATTACCAAAAAAGTATAGTAATTTGTACATGTACACTGCCACATTATAACAGGGCAAAGTCACATTACCACAGTGCAAAGTCCTATTGCGGAAAAAAACATGAAAGTTCTATTTTGATACTTTTCTCTATGTTTTAGTCCTATTTAGGGCGATTTCTATAATTTTTTATTATAATATAACAAGAACACAATTAAATAGAAGAATTGAAACTACACAATTATCACCATTCACCAATTTAAAAAAACAAAACATTAAATAATTATGTATTAAATACTTAAGATTTGAAGTATTAACATTTAATTTAAAATTTGAGCGATGCTAGGTTCACAAACAGAATGGTCACAAACTTTACAAATTTACAGTATTATTTATGGTTTAAGTTTTTATTTTTAAATTATTTTAGACTATTTAATTTTTTTATTAAAATTCAAAAATAATAAATTTGTGAAATTTGTGACCATTTTGTTTGTGAATCTAGCATTTCTCTTAAATTTTTGAATAAAAACGGTCAAAAAATGAAAATTAAACCATTAAAGTTTGAATCTATTAATTAATCTGTATTAAACATTTAGGGACTGTTTGTTTCAGCCTCTTAATGGTTCAGATGTCTGAATGGTTCAGCACTTAATGGTTCAGACTGTTTGTTTCAGCCTCTTAATGGTTCAGATGTCTGAATGGTTAAGACATTTGCCTCTGAATGGTTAAGTATTATACAGAGTCTGAATGGTTAAGACCTCTTATCTGAATTGATCAGACATTTGGCTCTGAATAGTTAAGCAATATACTAGCTCTTAATGGTTCAGACCTCTTACTGGTTCAGCACTTAATGATTCAGACCTCTTACTGGTTCAACACTTACCCATTCAGAAGTTGCCAAACAGCCCCTTAAATTGTTAAAAAACATGTATGTATAAAATGATAAAATAGTGGCGGAGGCAACAAAACAATGGACTGGATTTGGCTATTTGGGCCTTTTGAAATTTAGGAAGAAGGGAATTTAAGATCCAAAGTTTCACATTAAAAAATAGTTCCACTATTTTTTTAAGAAAACATTTTCCTTCTCAAAACTTAAATAATTGTACTTCTTTTAAAAAGATTCTGTTTTATGCAAAAAAAAAAAAGAAGAAGAAATGGAGTGTAGTCCAGGACCATGTTCTCTTCACCTAATATGATTAGTTCTGATTTGATCGGAATAAATTCTAATCTGATCTAAATGTAATTATATTTAAAATTATTTATGATCTGATTTAGTCTAATCTGATCTGATTTTAATAAGAATAAATAATAAGTAAAAAATAAGCTGAGAAGAACATGATCTAAATTGTGTCGCATACAACTTGTTAACCATGGAGGAACGGGAAGTATTTATCAAAATGCCCTGTAAATGTTTCGTATTTGGTGGACTACCCTGTAAAGGTGAATTGTCGGAAATGTCCAGGCGTGTATGACTGACGCGCTTCTTAGAAAATGAAAAGTTATTCCATTTAACGAAGCGTAAACGGCGTTTCAACTTTAAATTTAAATAAAAAATCCGAGAATGGGCGAAACGACGTCGGAAGAGACTATACAAAAACCCTCCATAAACATCTTCCTTCATCGTGCGACCATTGAGTTTTCGATCTGTGCGTGCTCTATCCCCCCTCTTCGATACCTGCAAAACTTGATCGAAACCCTACCCATCCAAAGTCACCGGTCTCGGAAAACCTTAAATTTCTACAATGAGGACGAAGAATGCTTCTGTGTCTTCCTCCAAGAATGGAAACGATGAGTATCATGCGGAAGAGAGGATGAAAGAGCACAGCGGTAGCCCAAAGCCCACACAAGGAACACTCGAGGTCAGAAACTTGATTTTAAATGAATTATTCTCTCTCCAAATAACCAATGGACAATGGTTTATGAATTTTTAGTCTGATCGACTTCATTGATCGACTAAAATAAGTGTCGACCTCTTGGTCGCACTAATTGCATATCTTTCCATATGAAATTCGTTGACATTATATGCCGTTATATAGGTTCCGGCGATAAAGACGAAGGTAAATTCAAAGGACTTTCCACATATGAAGCTGACTGTGAAGTCTTCACTGTAAGACTTCCAAAAATTGATGAAAGAAAAGTTGTGAGATCATATGGAAATCCTAGAAGTGTTTAGGAGAGGTTCTCCTTTTGGTGCTTTCCTTGATGTCCAGCTTGGTCCCCCTCCAGCCATGTTATGGCAGTTGATGGTTAGGGAGGCTAATGTGGAAGGAGCAAAAGGTTCTGAAATGTGGTTTGTAGTAAATGGAGTTCCCATTAGATACTCTCTAATGGAATTTTCCTTGATTACTGGACTCAAATGTTCACAACTAGCTCCCGGATATGAAGAGCAGTATGATAAGGATTCACTGCCTGTTTTCGTTAAAGAAAACTGGTCAAAGTGTGTGGTATGTTACACTTCAGTTGTCGAGAGGTTCTCAAAATTGTGCAAGCTACTTGACGATGAAGGGAAGAAAGAGTATGCACTCCAGTGGATAGTGAAGGTGGCGACATTGATGTTTGTTGTTCTCATTTTAATTGGTCATGCTAAGAAAGATGCCCTAGTTCCGAAATGGATCCTTGCCACTGTTGCAAACTCTGATGATTCCATGTCTTTCCCATGGGGGACATGGGCATTCCTGGAGTCCCTCCGTATCCAATCTTTGGGGAAGGACTTAGTTTCAGAAAAAAAGAAGCAAAGCTTGTCAAATGCGGGAAAACATCAAACACCCTCCGATACACTGGCTTTGTCCTCCCCTCATCCGTGAGTAAATTAATTTAAATTGATACTAAAAGTTCCTATAAGGAGATGGCTAAATTGGGCTTCATTTATTGCTGAATGCAGTTTCTCCTATTTGAGTGCATTAATGATTTTGGAGAGACATTTGGAGTGAAGATGGAGCAAACAAATTCAGCACTTCCGAGAATGTGTCTCTGGAAAAATAATATTTCAAAAACGCCTTCGCACGAAGCCATAATCAATGCACTAAACGCTGCCAAGGTAAGGTCTAAAGTTTAAAGAGCAAGGTCGACATAAGGTGAAAATCGACTTAATCATCTTTAAAGTGAAGGTCGACTTAAGATGTCTTTAATGTGAAGGTCGACTTCATGATCGACACTCATTTTTTAAATATGCTATTTCTTTTGTAGAGTGTTAGGAGCATTCTTCTTCCAGAAGGAAGTGAAATACGTGCCTCTTGGATCACCAATCTGACCTCCTTGCCTTCTGTTTCCAATCCAACTCTTGGAGAATTCGTAAGGGGAATCCAAGGTGGTGACAAGCATAATCAATTATGCATGAAAAAACAACTTCTGGCCCAAGCAAGTGAAGATGAAGTTGCTGTAGGAAGGAATTCATCATCAGATGAAGTTCACTCTTCAAGTGAGGGGTCAGAAGTCCCCTCCAAAAAGTATGTCCTAAGGAGGAGAAAAGTATCAAAGCCGTGCACCCCACATGAAAAGGCTGAGCACAGACCTATGTTGGAAACGCAGAGCCCTCTGTTGGAAAGGACAACCAATATCAAGGCTTCATCTTTAAGTGGAAAATCTAGTCAAATCTTGCCTAATTCACTGAAAAATTACATTGATGGTAAATTTTCTGAGCTTCAAAAGACGCTATGTCTAGAGGTTGAAAATTTCTTGGAAAGAAAATTTCAGACACTAGAATGAATGAACAGAGATAGAAGAGCGCGAGTGTCCATCTGCCTGGATAAAAAAGAAGAGCGCGAGTGTCCATCAGCCTGCAAAAGTGAAATTCAAGATGTAATTCAGAATGTGATTGATGAAATTACATAGAAAATTGTCAACATAGACTCCAGAAAATCTAGATATACAAGTCGATCAAATAGCTATTATGTCGACTAAATCAATTACTGTGGAATTATACATGTAATTGTCTTATTTCGGTCGACTTAATAAACCAAAATAAAAAATCCAGAATAAAATAAATCATTATAATGTCGACCTAATAAACCAACTTCATCATGTCGACCATATGTTTCGACTTTAGAAATCATTGATATTGTCGACTTTTAAATACACAGTAAAAAACAGATATATGTCGACTCTTCTCCGGCTATAGTTAATTATACAATCCTTACTGTAAAATTAGACGAATGTGTACATACGTTGAAAGAGTCTTTCACCGATTAGTGGAAACAAACAAAAGACGGCGAACTGGGGACAAAACAGCGAACAGCGGGACAACTGGGAACAAACAGGAAGCGAAAAAATGGGAAACAGCTAACAACAGCGGCGACAGCTGATAGGCGTCAGAGTATGCAATCGATTGGAATAGAAAACGATGAAAATGGCGCGCCGCCGCAGCGAGAATAACGAATTGCTTTTCTAGGGTAAAAACGACGCTCTGCTGCTGCAACGGTATGATAACAATAACGTAGCGATTACGGTTTAAGGGAGAAGGATAAGAGAGTAATTTCACTTTGATAGAAAGGGTATGTTAATAAATAAAATCTGTTTCAGGGTAGAGTGATAAATTCCTTCCGTTTTTAGGGCATTTTGAAAAAGCACCCGGAGGAACGGTATATAGTATATACGCGCTATTTCCTTTGCTCTTATCTTTTAATCTCTTCCGTTTTTCATCTTTTACTTGCTTTTTTTCATTTTTTTTCATTTTTTCTTTTCTAATTATGGAGAATGTAATAAACTTTCCAAAAGAAGAAATTACCCTACAGAGGAGTAAAACATAAAAAAAGTACCAAAATAGAGTCAAATTGACAAATTTTGACGCATCAAAGTTATATACTTCCGTTCATCTTTTATTTGTTTTTTCATTTTTCCCCTTTTTCCTTTCTAATTATTTAATCAACTTTCCCAAAAAAAGCCTATAGAGTAGTAAAACATAAAAAAATATCAAAATATGAACAAATTGACAAATTGAACGCATCAAATTTATATACTACTTCTGTTGTTGAATATTTGGCTAGTTTTGACATTTTACAATCAATCATATTTAACCATCGACATACTCCGCATAATTAAATTAAATTTTATGGTATCAAAATTATATTATAAAATAAACTAATGAAATTATTTTGTATCAATATCTAATACTCCTTATCAATTTTATTTAAGTAATTGTCAAAGTTTGTCAACTTTCAATACAAATTGTAAAAACTAAACAAATACTTAAGGACGATGATATTGTGACATTTATATAGAAAAATCTTAGGAGTAAAACTTAACTAAAATACCAAAATAGAAGATATTTAGTTTAATCCCCTAAAAATAGCGTGAGAATGGTAGTGTGGGAATGAGAGCTGATAGTGGGCCTAACAATCGAAGCCCGAGCCCGGCCCACATGGATACCTGCGGGCTTTGCCCCCCCCCAATGCAACAAAAATGTTTAAATAATAAAAACAATTAAAAATAAATCAATGAGTCAATATATATTAAATTTTTGATATAATAACTAAGAGTAAATGAAAGAACAACTAATACTCCGTATATAAAATGTGTTTTGTTTAATATTGCTACTACATACAGAGTAAGAAGTACTCTGTATTATTTATTGGAATATTATTTTCAATGTGTGACACATTGTAAACACTACGGAGTAATAAAGAGTAATTCATTTTACTAATTATACTTACTCCTATAATTTACCTTTTTCTCTATAGATGTATGTATGTGTTTATAATAGTTTGAAATATTATTATTATTATTATTATTATTATTATTGATGTTATTATTATTATTTTATTATAAGTATACTAATAAGAAATATTTTAATTCTTTAGGGACAGGCCGGCCCGTAGACTTGAGCATAAAACCCAAACTTGAGCATAAAACCCGAGCCTGACCCTAAAATATTCGGACCGCTATTTATAAGACCCAAGCCCGGTCAGTACTCTAAAATGTCAAGCCTAAGCCCGCTATTTTGCTGGCGGGCTTTGGCAGGTGGACCAGATACCGGACCCGTAATCGAGTCTGGTCGTGAGTGAGACTGAACCCACTCAAACTAATCAAGTTTTTGGTTTCATTCAGGATTCATCGTCACTCGGAATTCTTCCATGGCAACCGATAACTTTGGGATAAATTTTTTTACCATGTGTTCTTCCCAACTGTCAGGATTAAATAAAGTGTTCCATGGTGATAGTATGGAGTAGGCAGACTCATCACTTGGATTCCATTCATCAAGTACAATACTAGCCAAACTGTGACGTATTTTAGGATAACATGTTTCAAGTTTGTGTCCCAACAAACAAAGCCATGGATGAATCCAAGAGTGGATTGGGATCTCCTCCTCCCTAAGGGGACCCCATAGGTCAACAACATCTAATTTAGGCAAAACAACATTATCAAGAGTTGTGCGAAGAACAGTATGAGGCAAAAGCTTTTCCCAAAAATCCTGAAATTGAAGCATGGGTTCTAGGTCACTTGCCTGCCAATTGCTGGTCCCTAATGTTCTTACCGCTAGAAAAACAAGTTCCATAAACAACTGAGTATAAGGACTAGAAGAGTGGTCTTCTTCTTCCTCCAACCATAACAGATCCTTCCACGGCAAAACAACCTCTAATCCATGAAGTAGGTTTTGAAGTAGGTCCCACCCGTGAAACAATCAGGAGAAGAGAGGCCGAGCGTACAAGCATGTCATCACCGAAAAGTTACAAAGCTTATAATCTTCACCATAGTGATGTTTCAGTTGCCAAAATGAGTTGATGAGTGAGTCGAGTGTCAATGTGCCCATTCTAATGGGGTATCCCATTTGTATACTAAACTAACACAGAGACAAAATGTCTGTGCTGCACAGACACAAAATATATATGCTGCACAGACATTTTGTGTCTGTGTATGTCTGTTTTAGCCTGGTGTACAAATGAGGTAACCCATATTGGTGTACCCCTAGCATTGCCCATTTTTCATTGACTCCCTCCGTCCGGAAACCATTCCGCTGTCTTGTTCTTCTTAGGCGAGTAGACAACGATTCACGAAGGGGATGATCTAAGACTCGATCGATTAATCCGCAGATATTCATCATACATTAAGTTCAAGTTATTCCGTTTACAACATAACAATTGTAATTATCCCTATTTGCATGTTTCGATCTAGAGTAGCATCCAAAGGAAAATTCATGTGAATTGGGGTTTTTTTTTTCTTTTTTGTAAAATCAATTGTTTTGTTCTAAAAATATGGATGATGAGTGGATGAAATACAAATTCCTCCATGGTATATATATTTACATGTAAATACAACGACGAATCAAAATCATCAATGATGAAAGTTTCAGGGAGAAGTGAAACAAGAGGTGATTTTGGTGTTTTAGAGAAGCACACAAAGGGGATTGGGATCGGACGAAGTTGCTTGAAAAGATGAGTTATAAAGTAGGAGGTGGGCTTGGGAAGAATGAAAAAGGCATCACAACCCCCATTGAAGCGAAGTCGTGACCAAAAATATGGGAATGAGTTTCAGAGAAAAATATGTCCCCCCCTAACATAAAAGAGAAGAAGCAAAGAGTCGTTCAAAAGCTGTTCAATATGATGGGTCCACGGGTTCTTTGGGTTTTGACAAACCTAAGGGGCTTAAATGATGAAGAGAAGACGAGGGAAAATGATATTCGTATGTCTAAACTCTTTGAGCATAATAAAATGGATCGGGATCTGAGAAACGAGAGGGAGCTTGTGGTTGATTTGCAGAGAAATCCAAGCTGGAGATGTTCCCCTGAAAGCACGCACAGCTTGAGAATTCGGAATATGAGCAGATGGACGAAGGAATTAGAATGGGCACCTAAAACAACACTATGCTGGAGATTACAGCTTTGTAACTTTTTGGTGATGGCATGCTCGCTCGTACACTTGGCCTCTCTTCTCCCCACGATTTCACGGGTGAGACCAACTTCGACCCCGCAAAATTTGACCCGACCCGTTTATTACCCGAAACCCGACCCGATATTAGTGGGATTTGAACATGATTTTTATGACCCGAACCCGAGGACCCGTTAAAATTTTGGGTCGGGTCGGGTCTGACCCAACGGGTTAAGCATCCTCAAAGCTTAGAAATTAAGATTTGGGCAATTACCCATATAGTCTACGGCCCAAACCATTTTTATTATTGCAATGAGCCAATTTGCCCCATTATGACTAAAGCAATAATAATTGAAAAGCCCGTAAACCTAAATACTCCATCCGTCCTAAAACTTTCTTCTCAGAGCACTATTCCAACTTCACGGGAATTTATATTTATTTGTGTTTTTTCATGGCATATATGATAAAATGAAATATTCTTGTCACCACTTGTTTTGTTGAACTTTTGATGTAGTTTTTAAATATGTATGTTTTATTTTTTATTTCTATACCAATATTTAAATAAAATAGAATAAAAAAAACTTGGGATTTTTCTTCGTTTTGCGCAATGGGAAGAAAGATATAGGACGGAGGGAGTAGTCAATACGGAATCACCTTCTTCATCTCTCGATCAGCGATTCGGCGAGTCTCCTTCTCTCGCTGCCAATTTTTGCAATCGGTTTGTCAATCATCCTCCGGTGGTGTCGGCTCAATTAACATGGTGAGAAGACACAAAATTTGATGGAACACTTTTTTTAGTTTCTTTTTACAAAATTTAAAGATAAATCACTTTCTTATTTATATAATTAAAAATTTATTAGTTTCTTTTTTAGTTTCTGTTTTAGAAACTTATAGCGGAATACTTTTTGGGGATTTAACAATTAGTTTTATTTAATTTGTTTATTTGTTTTTTGTAGGAGTATAGCTGGATTTTGTTTGAACATCAATGGCTGTCATGCCAATATGCTGTACAAATATACCCCCAATATATAATAAAACATTCTCGTTGCCATGGCACCGCCAAAAAAGACCCGTAATTTTTACCAATTTGGTTTCCACGTCAAATTCTATTGTCTATATTCTTGTTCATATATTTTTTTTATATTTTATACACATATCGTGTAGACCAAAAAATGCACACACGGAAGTTTTTGTCTATCAGGGCGTTTAAAATACTCCATAATATAGGTTTGTAAGAATGTGCTTTTGTATTGGATACTTTTAAAATTATACCCCGTAGTAACCATTCTCAATTTTCTAAAAAAAAACAAAACAAAATACCCTAAGTACATATATAATCTTAATTTTCACAATAGTGTAAAATTGACAACCACAAAACATCTTCAAAACATAAGTACAAACAATTATACTATGGGATTTGAAGCATGTTACAAACAACAATTCCAAGCAAAAACTTAAATCTAGATGCACGAATCAGATACGCTCAACTTCCAATATGCACATTTCAATTAATATTTTTACTTAATCTTTATTTCTATGGATCTTTCAATCTCTTTGTTTTTTTAATTTCTTTTTTTTGTTTTAACAGTGCGTGGTAATCCATTCATGCCTAGAGGTTGTGATTTGAATCTTTTTTCATTTTACTCGCAAATTTTTTCTAAAAATAAAGAGCTAAGTTAACTGGTTTTCAGTCAAAAATCATTGTTTTTTGAAACGGTCTAATTAATACTTTTGTGCACTCATTCTCAAATTTGACAATTCCTTGGAGAAAAATACTCCGTAGTTAATTTCTTAATTTCTTTGTGTTATTTTTAAACCTTAGATCTACCTTCTGCATAGACATGTTTTAATGAATCTTTGATTTCAAATATTTTTTCTTTGCATTATTTCGTTTTAACAATCGGTAATATTCATTATTATTTTGTTTTCTCCGCACCCTTTCTCAAATTTGATCGCATAACTAAATACTATTTACTCTATTTCTTTTTACTAAATATCTGAATTTACTAAATATCTGAATTTTTGATTGAAAATATATAAGGTGATGGTTTGTAGTAAAAATCAAACTTTTGAAATATATAGGGTTTTTATTTTTTACTTTTTTCTGTACTCTTACCTAAATATATAGTGAAATATGTTAATTTCTTTGGAAATAATATTTATTGGTCTGTATGTTTTTTAAAACCTCTTTTTTCTCTTTTTT